ACTTAACGAACTTATATTGGGTTGGACAATCGGTAGAGTCGAGCTGGTTCTAGATCCAGCTATAACCTTGCAATTCACCGAGTTTGACAGAAAAATCACACACAACATATATAATTTCTAATTTTTTTCATATAATTTTATAAAATATATATAGTTTTAATGAAATATTGTTTTGTAATTATAGAAATTGAAGATCGGGGTTTAAATAACTAATTTCCAAGTTGGTGAAGATGATTTTTTTGTGTTTGTAATTTAGGGGTATGAGTAACATTAACCCTATTAATAATATTGTGCAAACGGATAAAAATGCCCTTTTTACTGTTAAAATTACCGTCTGAATTAATGATGGGTGGGAAAATGTTTTTTTTATTATTATTATTATTTTTTTTTTAAATTTTTTTTATGGGTGGGAACAATTAAGGCAAACTTTCGGTGGGACAATGTCATTCTCATTCACACTTTCTTTTCGCAGGCCACTGGGTATCTTTCTTTTTCAAACATACAAGCAACAAGGGGCTTATTTATAGCATTCTGACAACCGGCCTCTGAATATTAGATATACACCAATAAGCCAACTTTCTAGGCTTTTATTAAACACTCTATACAGTGTAGAATCCACTTGATAAATGATTTGGGTTGGTGTGTGAAGAAGCTGGAAGCAAAATCATCAATCACATTGATTATTGGGGCCACTATTTTCCTGCACTTATATATATTCTAACTTTTCAAGAGTAATAAATTGATGGGGATCGTTGTAACTTAAGAAATAATCACTTATTTTTAAAGTTAATAACCCAAAAGTATTTGGTTAAGACATTTGAAAAGTGACTATGCAACAAGTAAATTATGAAATAATTTATTTTAGTAAAGAAATTCAGAAGCTGCCTTTGGAAATGGCAATTACAAAAATGCCTTCGTAAAATTATTAAACCAAAAAAAAAAAAAAAAAAAGGACTCCTTTAACGTTGGGCTTTGCCTCATTCAATATGTTGAGTAGCCCATAGTGCAAAAACAAAACTCACCGGTTGTAGCACATAACCAACCTCTCCCACCACTTGACAAATAGAAATATACGAGTGTTGGAATGATTAATTGGCTTATTGGGAATAAGTATGAAACAAATGTACAACCCAACACTTAAAAACATCTCATTTTCTTAATTCAAATATATTATCTTAAATTTATCTACATATTTAGCTTCTATGTATTACTAGTCAAAATAATGTAATGCAAGTGCAACAGACCAGCCTAATAATTTTATTTCTTTTATTTTTCTGCTTTTTTAATTATTATAAAAATAATAAAACAATTCTCTATTTATTATTATTCTTATATGAATTTATTCTTATAATTATAAATATTTTAAAATTATATAAAACTTGTCCAATACTAAAATCTTCTCATATACAATTTTCACTCTTACCAAATGCTGTATAGATATATAGAGTAATTCTCTACTCAAGTCCAATGTACATATTTACCATAAGATCTTTACATGTTAAATATCTTCCAGTCCAATAAGTAGATCTAATAATAAATATAAAGATTATCTTTATATAATTATATACGGACCATCTTTGAATACTAATTAGAGAATGTATATATCTTATATTCTTTTTAAGTTTAAAAAATATTTTTTCTGTTGATATATCATTTTTAAACTTTTGCAAATCCTTCAATACTCTACATAAACAAAGTTGGAACCAACTCCATAGGTGTGTTTGGTTGGGGGTAATCTCTCATTATCGAGGTAATGTCTTCTTATATTAGTTAATTACAATGTTTGGTTGTCAAGTAATATAAGATTTCGATAGTCATCCAAAACCAATAGTAATTACTGTTCGTAATATAAGAGGTAATTTAATTACATCCATTTTCTTCGGTATTTTAAAATTACTTAGTAATCTTAATTTTGTTACAATTTTACCCATAAGGGGCCATTCGAATGGGGTTAATATTAGATAACTGGGATAATATTTTTAAATTCCCCTGGTAATACAATTTTGTTTCTCATGCTGCCCCCAAACAGTTGAGCATTTGGTCCAAATTAACCTTATATTTACAAAACACACAATTCACTCATGAAGACACTTTTGTCCTCGCTTTTTAAATTGTTCGGACGACATTGCCCTTGTTATTGTCATTATATACAGAAATGTCATATACCTAGACCGCCAGCCACCACGACCATCGTCAAAGGTTGCCAAAAGTTGCCATAATGGTGTACAACCAGCCGTATATGGCCGGCTATGCGTCGGTGAGGCTTTTTCTGAACATGGGTCATAGATCCATGGTTGAAAAAGGCCAGATCTAGTTGTTTCATGACTAGATCTATGGTTGTTTCAAAGCCAAAGATGTGACCAACGGCCGCTAGTGGTGGTGACTGGCTGCCGGCAGTGGCTTAGGGTAGGTAGGGGTGTTTTTTTTAAGTTTAAAACGTTTTTGGTTGCTAGGGTGTTTTTGATAAATTTGAAAAGTAGGGGGTTAAAAGAATTATTCAAATAATAATAATAATAAAAAATACTATTATATTAATATCTAAAAATGAGGGCAATTTAGTAATGTAAATAAATACCTACCAATTTATCCTCCCAACCAAATATATTATTCACCAATCTATTTGAACCAACCAAACACATTTTTTAAACATTCCCAATAATCTTCAAGCTGATCTTTTATTCCGTTAATATAATATCCTCTTATAATAAAACAATATATGATCCAAACGGACCTAACTATTAAAATTTTTGGATAACTATACCTTTTTTCGAAAAAAATTACAAAAAAACTCAAGGACTATTTTATCCTTATATACAAAATTTTTAGGATATAAATACCCCTAGACTTTGAAAAAATTATCCAAGGGTGGTGGCCGACGCCGATATAGCAAAAAACGGTTATATCTATTCTAGCCATTTCCGACCAAATCTACGGTTTCTAGCCGTTAACGATGGCCAGATCTCTAGCCGTCGTCAACGAACAACGACCAAATCTTTAGTCATCAACAACCACAACTCTAGCCGTTAACGACGACCACTTCTGGCCATAGATCTGACTGTTTCTAGTTAGATCCATTATGAATATGGCCGAAAACAGCCAGATCAACACACGGTCGATCAGATTTGGCCAGTTGTGTGCCATTACGGCCACTATCGCCATCGTCGGATGTGGTGGCAAGCAGCCAGCAGTGACTTAGGGTGGGTGGGGGTGTTTTTGTTAAGTTTTAAACTTTTTTGTTGCTAGGTGTTTTAGTAAATCTGATGAAATGTTGGAGGTTAAAAGAAATATTATAAAATAATATTATATCAATATTTTAAAAGGAGTGCAATTTAAGAATTTACATAACATGCCCACTGATATATTCATTTCAATCAAACATGTTAATATAACATACCCATCAATTTATTCCAACCAACCAAAGAAATTTTCTTAAACATTTCCAGTAATCTTCAAGGTAATCTATCTTTCCATTAATATAACATTCCTAATAATGCAACATTCCTGAACCAAACACACCCTTAAAGAACTTATGCTATATATTTTACGTTAAAATTTTTATAATTCATTCATTGATTGGATGCTCATACATATATTATGTTGATGCTACGTTTTGTACCAATGAAAAGTACGTAGGATTCGGGATGAATCTATGTAGGGGTTTGTCCCGATAGTTTGATGTTGAATCAAAGAATGTAACGAATAATAAGTGATAATGCAAGACAAACAATTTTTAAAATGGTTCTGATGCTTGAATGCAAATCTTACGTCCACTGTTTTTGTATTGTATTCGCTGAGTAGCGATTTGCTTACAATGAATTGCTAGTGAGTTTTTGTGACCTCGTTTTCCGTCCTCCAAAAACTGATTATAATGAGGTTTTTATATATGATCAATTACGTGTTTGAATTGAAAGTAAACACTGAATCTTTAGAACATGAAAACAACTTCATCTTTGACTCTCATTTGGGAGTCAATATTGCAAGATATTGCTTTACCAAAGTGAGAAACATCCTTTCCAGACTTTGTCGTGCAACAATAAGATCAAACTTTGATAATTTAGAAAGGCGGTGTGTTCTTCAACTCAAGATCATGAAAGATATCTTTATACCAAATTGGAATTTATCCTCTTCAACTTTTCGCACAACACTAAATAGCTTGACATGTGGCACAAATAGAAGTTTCATGATCCGACTCACAACATATTATAGAGAAGATTTTCTTCGGCATTACATGTTAGTTAACTTAATTATTAAGCTAACACTTGTAACGAAACATAACAAATTTTCAAATAAGTAATGCAAAAAGTTTGAACGACAAAATTTATCAAATTTAATATTTACTATAAAAACATCCAATAAAATGTCGTCCCACGGAAAAAATACCATACTGGTGTTGACATTTGCGATCAAATCCCACCTAGTCGTTGCATCTTCATATCCAAGACATGAATATGATTAACATTCTAGAAACACTTTCCAACATCACAAATTTAACGCCTCACATCCAATGACATTCGCCAGTTGAGTGGCCCACTTCACACTTGGCATACAGAACAAAACCCTGTTCCTGGCAATAGTAAACCCTAAAACCAACAGGTTTTGGCGGGGAAATAGGATTATTCCGTAAACAACAAAGATACACAGAAGACATTTCCCGCCCCGTCGTACTCTACTCATGCCACGTCACCATTTTACTGGGTCCATCTTTCGTTTCTCAGCTCTCCATTATTCAAATTCAATAAGTCAACCATCCAAATCTCGCCACGTGGTAAAACTTTCATAATCTGAACCGCCCATGACAGAAGGACATAGTGTTTTTATAGGGTACGGTACGAAAAAAATCTGGACCGTGAGATGTTAGATCTACGGATGAAAAGCTACCCGAGATTAACACGGGCAGATCTGGGTAGCCTTTAAGAAGCAGTGGTTGCCCAGTCATTGAGTTCTCGTTTTTGTGTGGAGAGGGTCTTTAAAACCCTCGCTTAACTCTCTCTATGTCTGCCTTTTAGATTAATACTTTTGCTGTCGTTTTCAGTTATGGCGTCGGCCGTTTTGGCTAGTCGGAATGAGCCGTGTTGGGGTGAGAGAAAGGTTTATATGAGAAAATATCCGAACTCGGTAAACACAACAACCTCTGCAAAGAATAGAAATAGTAATGTCAACGGCAAGTCTCTTTTAACTTCTCAGTCAAACCCTAATCCGGCTCCGAGTCATCCTTCCAACAAACAGATCCCGGCCCATGATCCGTCGACTGACATCCACGTCAAGGAGATTTCTTCGCTGTCTCCGCCCGGTGGCTTTCCAGCAAAGGAGATGTCACGTGCAGGTCGTGTGACGTTCAATCTTGCTGCCTACACGAGGCTAGAGCTAAAGGAGTTGAAGGAGCGCCTGCTCTCGGAACTCGAACAGGTGCGGATCCTCATAACCCGGGCCGAGAACCTTAAATTCCAGTCGGTTCAACCCGTTTTTCTGCCTGACCCGCAAAAGCTGAACCCTAGCCCTAACTGTACGCCTAAGGGACACAAGGAATGTGCGGGGGCTAAACGGGCCAACCCGTTTAGAAAATCGGGTCAAAAGCGGAAGCAGAAAAAAAGGCCTACGGCGGTTTCGTTAATGCGGAGTTGTAGTCAGATATTGACGAAGATGATGAAGCACAAGCACGGTTGGGTGTTCAACGAGCCAGTCGATGTCGTTTCATTAAGTCTCCACGATTACCACGACATAATCAAGAACCCGATGGATCTTGGCACCGTTAAGCTTAACCTCGAAAGGAAACTGTACGGCACCGTGTTAGATTTCGCCGCAGACGTAAGACTGACATTCAACAATGCGTTGAAGTACAATCCCCAAGGCCACGACGTTCATGTGATGGCCGAGACTTTGTTGGGGAAATTCGAGAGAATGTTCAAGCCGGTGGTGCGAAAATTCGGAGAAATACCCGTTACAGTGAAGAAGAAAGAGATGAGTTTTGAAGAGAAGGCGGTGTTGGGGAAGAGTTTGGAGGAGCTGCCGCCAGAGAAGATGGGCGAGGTGCTGAGTATATTGAAGAAGAGGAATGGTAATGGTGACGTGTCTGCAGAAGGGGATGAAATCGAGCTCGATATTGACGTGATTGATAATGAAACGCTATGGGAACTTGATCGGTTTGTAAAACAAGTGGCGGATTTGAAAAAATTGAAAAGTGAGGTAGTAGAAGTTAAAGAAGTGCAGAAGGTTGGAGTTGGAGAGGAAGAGGTGGACATTGGAGAGGAGATTCAAGTTGGAAACTTTCCATCTGTGGAGATTGAGAGAGATGTTTCTAGTTCAAGCAGCGACTCGTCTTCTTCCTCCTCTGGCGGTATGTTTATTGTTTATTTGTGTATTATATTATACTTCAGGACATGAAAGTAAATTAATTTAATTTGTTTGAGGTTCTGATATGTGGTATTGGTTTGTTGTGTAGAATCCGGGAGTTCCTCTGATGATGACGATGATGATGAAGACGCTGTGAAATCACCAGTCTCTGATGCAAAAGATGCGGCCATGGCCATGGGAGTTGAAACCTGATGTGGTCAGGTGAAGATATGTTTTGGTAGATCCATTTTGTAATAGTTGTAAAAACAGTGATTGACTGCTAGAAGTAGAAGTAGTAGGTAAATAGACAGGAGTTGAGAGTAGGATTTGTTTTGTGTAGTTGAAATTGACTGAAAAATTAGAAGGAAAGAAGTAATTGATGGATGGAATGAAATGGGTTTGGCATAGATTTTTGTACACTGTCACCAGATGAATTTCAGTGTAGAATAATGGAATGGAATCAGAAGAAAGAAAATTGGAATTCCCCCATTTCTGTTGAGAATGATTACACAGTATCTGATTTAACTCTAGTTTTATCATTTCTCATGAGACACTGCCAGTGGCGACCTGTCATCTATTTACCTTTTTTCATGCTTTAACCATTCAAAAGCTTTTACTTTTTAATTCAGGTAAACAAACTTTAATGATTCTCAGTCGACTCATTCAATCTTAATGAAAACTGTCTTCTATATGGACAATGCTTAATGCGTTAATTATTTCATTTGCTTAATTAACAAGAATTGGATTCTATTTTGCATTTTGCACTTTGAGTTTGAGTTTAGGCCATGTAGGTGGCAAACTGTCTTCCATTGAACAAAGAAAAGATCCTTATAACAATGTGATAAAAGATAAAGATACCCTTTGGCTGTGAACAATCGAACATGCCAGTTGTTATAGCATATATGCCCCAATTCATCAAGCAGAAAGTAAGGCATTAAATTATTTGATTTATCGCCAAAAAGCTGTGTTTCATAGATTGTTGTGTTCACTGTTTAGTATGAATATTGGGTGATATTGACTTTAAGAAACATTTAGAATATATTCAGAACTACCAAGATTTTATATTACTTTTGAGTTCCTGATCTGGAGCACATGTGTGATATATGCAAAAGCTATATACAGTACTTGGTTAACTCATTTTAATTATATTATTTCCAATGTCAACCATAAGGGACAGGTCCATGGAGTTTTTATTTCATTGTCAATAAAGAGGAAGAGGCACATATCTTTTGATGATGGGTGAAAGTGATGACCATCATGAAATCAACTCTTCTCAAAAGAGGTTGAATTAAAGCCTCCCAGAGTGGGCAAAACCACAACATTCAATTCGATTTCGACGGACCCCTACAGATCTGATATTTGGTAAACTTATAGTCAATGTTTTTAAATATAGCCAAAAGAATTTGACCCCACATAAATATACGTTTTCAATTGTCTCACTATAAGTGAAATTTCAAAGATTTCAGTGCTGCGCTTTTAAGTGGAATTGTCTCACAATTCCCAAGTGCTCAAATCTTCACTTGACCAAAGGTCTATAATCTTTGTATGAGTGGAAGAAAAAGAAAAGTATACATAAATAGAAGTTTAAAACCATTGACATTTTATATTCTAAACTCCAATGTGAAGAAATTTTGTAGAACGAAATTCACCATTCACTTATAATGAAGTTATATCATGTAAATAAGTAGTGAGGACCGAGGAATACATTTAAGCACATAAGCAGCGTAAAGGTGTCCAAAGTCCAAACAATGAATTTGACAATGCAACATGAAATATATACTCACTTTAACAACCACACTTAATCACAATTATGCATGACCTACATTTCATGGTATAATGTTTTATTCATATGTACTCACACCGCATTCGAAAAACAAACTTTACTTCGGCCTGGTAAGAACTTAAGAAATAAGTAACAACACCCTTGACGGGATTTTATTAAGATGTCTTGACTTCTTGCAAGTGCTCCAATATGCATAAAGATCAAGCAACTACTGCCTCATTGTCAACTTTGTCTTCAAATGTAGGTTTACCACCACAGCCGCTGCCACAGCCACCACTCTTCACCATGTTTCCGCATCCCCCACCACAACCACCTCCACAGCCACTGCCACAGCTACCACCACCACAGCCACCACTCTTCACCATGTTTCCGCATTCCCCACCACAACCACCTCCACAGCCACTGCCACAGCTACCACCTCCACAACCACTACTTTTTACCATGTTTCCGCAGCCCCCTCCACAGCCCCCACCACAGCCACCACTATTCACCATACTTCCACATCCACCAGTATGCACCATGTTAGCCTCATCCATGTTTAACTTTGCTTCAGTTTCAACAGAAGTGGTCATGTTGGTTTGCACTCCCTCCTCATGGAGACCATTGACACCTTCAATTTCACCATTCACCTCCTTCAAATTTTCATTATTAGCAGCAAAATCATCATATCCTTTCTTCTTCAGAGTATTAGAAAGTATAAAAGCTGATATGATTGCAGGCAACACAAACCATTCTTCCTTTACCTACATTATTTTAAAGAAACAACAAAATGCTGTTAGATGAATTATTATTTGACAAATGTGATAAATAAAACCTCTAGACTTTACCTTGATGACTCCAGTTTTCAGGTCAAGCAATGCAATTGCTTTGCCGTATGGATCTTCTGCAGAAAATTCAACTAAAGTCATAAAATCTTCTTCAGTTCTCTTCTTCTCACAATTTTTAGGTTCATAGTCCAGCTTCCTGCCCTTGAAAATTTTTATCTGTTTCAAAGAAGATAAAACCAGTCAAAAGGTTTAAAGTCCGTCAAACCAAAACAATGGAAAGATCTATCGGATGAATGATCCACAAGAAGCGTTTCAGTCAGAGCTATACCGCAACAAAGCACAGTGACTGTAGCATGAATGCATACAACAAAAGCTAGAATGTCATATAAATTTTTATATAACATCAAAACTTAGCCAGTCAAAATAAAAATGATATCTCCAACTTATCAGGGTCTTGCATAACTTTAAGAATCATCAAGCATGGTGAGGAAGCAAACTTTATAAGTACAAACTTATTTATCAAATGACACCATTTGGTAGTTTCTGATAGCACTTTAAATGTAAATATAAAGTGATGAAAGTGTACCTTATTACTTCACAGTTAAAAAATTTGAGATGATCTTGATAAATGGAAAGGCAATTATCAATGAAGAATGCATTTCTAAAAAGTCCTAAAGAGCACAGAATGATGAGACAAAGAGGAGAGAAAGAAATGCGATCCATACACACCATTCTATTGCCTATGAGCTCAAAGATATGATGTTCTTTACTGGATGTCTTTTTAAGCTGAAGACAGCTGTGAGAATCCATTAAAGACCACCCAATCTCAACCATATCTGCAAGAGGACGAGTTTCGCCTGACTTTGTAATTCCAATAACTTGTTTACTTTGGGTGCAGCTATCTTTTGCCTTCTCGTTCCTGGAGTCCCTAAAATGCAACCCATGCCAGCAAACAGTATAATTAAGGCTTCAGATCATCACATGAATACCATAAAATGATGAAACATATATGAGAAATGTAAATCATTGGGAAAACAGATTCTCATGATTTTGAAAAGAACAAAAGTAAATCTCTCAATCTAGGAACCATTAGTATTCAGGAGATATTAAATAAATTATTTTTAAGTTTATAATAGTCTAAACAGCTTTCCAACCTGTTGGAATTAAAAATGAAAAAAGTTGGTCAATTTTCAGTGAATTTAAGAGATCTGAAAACTCCAATTGGTCAATAATAATATGGTCATGATTCAACAGACTTGGATATAATCATAGGATATAAACATATATACAGATCACTGACATATATAAATAACATACATAGATCATACTCAGTGATGAGAAATGTAGTGTTAACAAACTTTATAGCAGAAAATGATGAATAGGTATACCTCATTTGAAGTTTGATCACCTCAGAATGAGTTTCATCAATAACACGGGCCCAGCTCTTTGCATGCTGAACCATTCCAGGGATGGGAAAAAAACAAGAACTTTTTGATGATGGCCGGGATCGAACCATGTGAAGCACACGAGTTGCCAGGGTTGGGAGTGTGAATGAGATAGAAATGCGAAGACTGATTGGTTTTGAACTCACGGTTCCAGAACTGGGCATTAGGTCAATCCATTTTTCCACTCTAAGTTTAGATACTGGATCCAGGAAGTTTTGCAGAGATAGTGAAGTAGTACCCATTGTTTTTGATGCCCCTGCTACGGGTATCTTAGAAGGTGAATGCGATCCAAGTTCAAACAAAAGTTCTCCAGTTGGTTCACATTGGAAAGAAGCAACTTGTTTCACCCTGGACTGGGACAAAATAGTGAGTTTCTGCTTGGCATTAAAGAAAACATCAGGCTGTGATTTGCTAAACAAGACAAACAAGCTTCCCTTGTGGCCCTCGGGTAAGTTTTTGACTGCAACAATCTCCAAAAGGACCTGAAAAGGGTATGGAGAACATTAAAGAAAGACCTTGGGTAATTGAAAGCTTGCAATAATGTTGGTTCAGGTGGCATATGCTCATTCACTGAAGCCTATAGGTTATAAGCAGTATAGTATTTCCACCAAATCATATTTCCCAGCAAAAAGCTACTGCATGCTATGAACATACCCTTTTTCAAAAAGATGATTGAGATTTTAACTTAAATTCTACCAGTTTAAGCTTTTATTTTAGCTGAAGTTCCATTTCAGAAATCATAACTTATTTTCAATTTAATCATGATGCTGTCCTCACTGACAGCAGAACATTATTTTAAGCATATATCTTCTTTCAGGAAAAACACTCTACTAGGACACTACAATTCCCTGATGCAACCTGTAATGAAGTAACTTCTGAAATATGCGGGTCATGAAACTATATTTGTTAATTTTGAAGTTTAACATCCAAGGCCAGACATTGATGTCCATCTTCTAGGGTGATGATACAACAAAAATAAGAGAAAATACCTTGATGTTCTTGAACATGCAGCAACATAAAAATAAGGATGATTAAATGGAGAGATTCTAAAGATGATCAGAAACTACCTCCACGACCTTCAACTCTGGAAGATCAATTATCTTCTGGTACTCTTTGGATGGAATTACCTCCTTGCGGACATGGTTAGATGAGAAGGGAACTGTTGTGAGTGGAGAAGGAGTGATGCCTCTATACATTGCCCCTGCTTTCCAATACCTTAAACCAAATGTCTCTTCCCATTGCTTAGTGGTTCCAGAAAACCCAGTATCAAGCTTCTTCCCTTTACTTCTATCTTGGTCCATGTCATCATGCTCCAATACCTTGCCAAGCACCACAGTCACATCCATACAGTATGAAATAGGATGCAATTGGTGTGTATGCCAAATAAGATCAATGTCATAAGTTGGAACAGTAAAGCGTTTGATTGATCTCTCCTTGTTTTTCTTAATCAGATGCAGAAATCCCTTATATCTGGCCACTGCTTCTTCAAGAAAGATATCATTATTTACATGGGATCTGGATACCTGATACAAACAAGGGCAAGAAAATAAAAAAATGAGAAAAAGAAAATGACGAATTGGAAGACAGAAATATCAAGGATGTGTGTGTTTCTGTATGGAGAGAGCCAATAATCTTGCAAGAAATAGTAAATGTCAAAAAAATCAGGTAGCAATAGTATAGGACTATAGGGGGTGGGATGCACTTGTATGATTAGGCTAGCAATATTGATTCAGGTATAAATCTAAAAAATAAAGTGGCAAAACAGTAGGGTTTCAGCATGATTTTTCAAGTGATAACTAACCAGATTAAAATCAAACATAGTCGCTTAAGAAGTACCATAATTTTCCTCCAAATTACGTATAAATCTAAAAAATAAAGTGGCAAAACAGTAGGGTTTCAGCATGATTTTTCAAGTGATAACTAACCAGATTAAAATCAAACATAGTGGCTTAAGAAGTACCATCATTTTCCTCCCAATTACCTGATAAAAGAAAGGACTCTGTCTACTGACAGCTGAAACTAGATCATATTTTGTGTACTTTTCAAGTCCGGAAAGTTCGGCTGAAGAATCCTCCAAGATTGCTTTTGTCAAGTCCAAGTCATAGGGCTCATCCGGATACAGCCTATTCCATATTTCTTCAGTTTCCTTTTTATAAGTACCTTGAACGGAAGATACAACATTGGAGTTGTCAAGGGTTTTCCCATATAGTTCCTCACAATCAGTTTTGTACCTTACCTGAATAAAAGAGTGAAGAAAACTACTTAGTACTCAACATCACCTAGAAAAGAAACTTGCATGATTCAGTCAAAAAACTTACAGGGTTGAGTCGGTGACAGTGCCAAATCCATTCACAATCAAAAGGAACAACAAGAAACCCTTCAATAATCTGTGACTCAGAGTGTTTGGCTAGCAAGGGAAGCCAACAAGCATTGTACCTGAAATTAGCATCGCCAAATTTCGACAATGAAAAAACTTAATTTCAAAGGTATATAAGGAGAGAATCCATAAAACATTGCAAGCCTTAATAATTCACCAAAGCTTTCATAGTAATGGACTAACCAAAATTTATAGATGCATGAACTCTCTGCAGTTAATATTGAGACTTAAAACCCAAACCACCAGAAAGTTTCATCCACAATGCCATTTAAAAGTAAGAACAAGCAATAGGAGAATTTTGATAGTAATCATTTTCACATATCAAGAGATGCATCATAACGGCAAATTCTACGATGGATAAAACAGAATGAAATAAATTTTATGGCTGTGACCATCTAACCATTTATATATATATTGCTAGTATCCAAAATATGAGCATCTTCGAAAATCAAAGCTAATTAACAGTTCCAAGCAACTAATAAACAATTTAACAAATTGATTGGATTGTAGAGCAATTACCTATAGATGGCCCTCTGGAGGGCAGGGCCTTCATAGAGGCAACGGTTCTTATCAACAGCAGCAAGAAACTGAAGCTGGCGTTTGGCTGCAGCCACAAGATCTACACTTATCCCAATCTTTTGCGCTTCAAGCCACTCTAACTCTTGTTCCTTCTCCATTTCCATGACTCACCGAAGAAACAATCTGATTTAGCAATAAAAGATTATCAATCACCATATATATATATATATGAAGTTAAAACTGCAAATAAGTTAAGGAAAAAAAAAAAAAGACTTACGATGGTTATAATCAAAATGACTAGTCAATTAGAGAAAAAGAAGAGAAAATTCTAAACGAAGAAAAGTCAAGCATTCAGTCAAAACATCAAATTCATGTAATTTTCCCCCAGTTTCTCAGCAACCAAACAGAGAGAGGAACGAAATAACATGATAATTATAAAGTGAAAAAGAAATTTTTTGATCAATTACCAGAAAGTGCTCAATGCAAGTGAATGCCACTACTGCTCAATCAATTTAGAAGTAAGCGGGTATTTATCGTTGGTGTCTGAAAGCGACAGATTTCCACTAATTACGAAGTTGTCCTCGTAGAAGTCAAATATTACAAGCTAATGATCAATGACCAAACTGCCCTTTTTATTTCTTAAACAAACGGAATTACTATGTTAAAGTCTGAAAATTAAAATATTAACTTTACGGTAATATTTTATTATTTTGAATATGATGTTATAATTTCAATGGTGTCTAACCATTTAATAATTTTTGTATTCTATATTAAAGGTCTTTTTGGGCTTTAATTAAGTTTGATGTTAAAGGTGTTTTATATGTTGTTTAGGATATGTACTATGTAAAATTAGAAAGGTGGTGCCCATTACTCAATATACTATGATGTTATTGGCTTCAATTATTGATGATGTTAAGCATAGACGGCAATTATGAAAGCGATGGGTTGTAATTTCTTATTATATTAAATGGATAATGTCAAAGAAAATGACAATATGATGATACATAACCCCTAGGATTGATCTGACGATCAAAGAGATTTGCTCTTTTTTTTTTAGTTCAAACTTTGGGATTACATATCAAAATAATATTGTGACTTACTTAATCTTTTATGTTTGTAGGGTTTTAGTTGAAGTGCGCATAAATTAACTCGGATACCTCGATTACCAAAAATAAAAATAAAAATATATATATATATAATTGATGATTCATATTCCCTAGAATAAATGGGCAAACTGGCTGAACACTTTGGTTAAAAAAAAAGAAAGTATGATGATACATATTCCCGGAATAAATGGGTTTAGAATTTTATCAGTATGGATGTTTTAGCAACAATAAAAGAGTCATGCATTTAGCATGTTTTATAAACAGAAGAATTATACAAGTAAAGAACGAAGGAAACTAATCACATTCACATGTCAATGTCATGCGTGGTAGTTGGGAATTTTCGTGTACGAAACATAAAGTTAGTGCAGTACAAAAAGTACCTGTGGGCATTGGCAGTACCAAATTTAACATCTTCAAGACTTCAACTGAATGCTACTCTCACCAATTTTAACAAATATAAATAAATATTCCTCTTCAACAAAAGCACCCAAAACCTTAATCGGAAAACCCAGGAATCAATTGCTATTGCACCGATGATAAAGAAACGGAATTGTGGCAATTCAGAATCCGGAACGACACTTTGAAACTCGCTTGTCTTTTGGCAAGCCGATGAGCCAAAATATGTTGCTAGTATAATTTTGCTTGCTTTTTCAAAACCAACATAAACTTATTGTTGCAGTTTGTTTACCAAACTATTTGATTTCAACATGGTTCTTTAATAATCCTTAACATAAAATCCAAGCTGGCCAAGCCAATAACATTTTACTCATGAATTATACATTATGTTATACCATTCCCCATCAGCACAAGAATGTACGAGTTTCTTTTCATCAAAACAAGCAATAACGCACCTAAAACTTCCAATATGGAACTAAATTTTGGAACATCATATATAAATTTCTCACCCGTCAAAGCTCCACCAGGACAGAACAAAGTAAAACTTACCTAATAATCAAAGAGGCACTGCAGGTTTCGGGTCACAAACCCAGATCTTTATCAAGAAACTACAACACCACTCATTGCGGAAACCTGATAGGCAGTGTACAAGAGGCATTTTAAGGAAAACAGGACATATTTCATAATTGAGTGGTCTCTTTTGTTTGCATTGTTTGATCTTGATATGTGCTTTTCTCCAGGTATTCTTCTTCAATAGTTTCCTTGAGGATGAACAGCCTTTGGATAACTACTGGTTGAGCCATCTGCTTAGCTTCCCGAATGTCAGTCTCTTCCTTATTCAGATGGTATGCATCAAGCATAATTGTAATCCATTTATGCAGCTCCTTGGGAGTACTGCTCCAACACATCAGCGGAAGGAAACCAAAAAAATGTTGTAATACGACAAAGTCACAAGTGACAAATTTCAAACATCACCAAAAAGTTGCAATTGTAATTTGAAGAAGAAAGGGGCTTTCTTACGTGTATAATGCCTTAAGGTCTTTGGCTTCGGGTTCATTGCCAGGTGAGAAAGCTGTTGCCAATGCTGAGAATCGTTCTTCAGGGTCTGTAATATTTAGTAAATACTTGAGTAGTTTTATTTCTTTTGGCGCAATGCTCCTAAGACTGCTCTTTGTGGCTTTGTATAGACGATACATTATATCTTTAACCTGCAGTTACATGTCCAAAAGAAACAAGAATAACAAAAATTTAGCACTCACAAAATTGTGTAGCCACACAACAGGAAGGCACAAATACAAAGCCACACAACAAGAAGGCACAAATACAAAGCCAATGCTTAACATCATGCAAAAAGGTTTTAAGGGGGAGATTTGGTGTTCATATAATAAACAAACAAAACCAAGCAACGACAGATGCTAGTTTGTATCTAAAAGAAGTTTCTAAATGGTTAATTCAACATAAATATCATGAAATCATTGTTAATTCATGCTCAACTTCACTGCAGCAGGGGAATGTCAACATATCATAAATTAAAGATTGATATCAATACCTCATTCTTCATAGTTGTGGAAGCTTTTGCAGAAGCCCAAGCACTATTTATCAGTAAAATCAATGAAGAGTCAAGTTCCTTTGCCTTGGCAAGGCTTTTAATCTTATCACATGCCACATCTATAGATGGAGAGTTGAGGATATCATCAAATTTGGTCTGGGCAGCATCTAATGTATCCACACTTTCCAGCGTGTTATCGTAAGCACTGACTGCAGACAAACATCTGGTTGCTAGTCTCGCCACAGCTGTTCAATCCCATGGAAAGATAGAGATTAAACTTCTTTCTATGAAATTCCCAGACAAAAAAAGAAAAAAAAAAAAAAAGACTGAGATAAGTGTAACTATATAAGTAAATTTCTAGTGCTGTAGATATACGTTTAGCATGGTAACTATAAGTCCTACTTTAAACATTGCTTCTCACAATAAATCATGGATAATTGCAGTCCAGACAAGGATGCTGGCAGTGGAAAATTTGGTACAATGGTTGTAGGCAATTCTTTTGCTAATGTTTGTAATTGTGAAGCTGACATAAAGTACTGTCAAATCCATTCATACAGCTTTGCAGGTTTTAACACCACAAAATCTTAAATCAAATTCCAAGCCAAGTCCAATTTCAGAGTGTGACATATTTTAAGCTGAGAATATGTATGTTTAACTGCTAATACAATATGCTATCTCAAATCAACAGCAAGCATGAAAAAACTATTCAAACTATAGATATCTTAGTAAACTTGATAGAATATCAACAATCTATTGCGTGAATTCTTTATTGGTATAAATTCATGCATGAAGATGGACACCAGATGATTCAACTTACAAGAGTAAAGCATATAGAAACTGAAAGAAGAGTTGATAAATATATAAAAACTTTGCTAATTGCTTTACTACCATAAGCACAAGAAAAGTCAAACCAAAAGAGGCACTTTCACAGTATATTTCAGTCAATCATTCATCAGATTTCACTAAACTAACCCAATTATAGAATCATAAATTCTAAAACTATTACCATCACGGTCTTCCAGACTGTCATTGGATTCTGAAAATAAAGTTAGGTACCGAAAAAATTCCCCTGTAAAGTCTTTGCGTCGCCTTGCAACTACTGCATTTATGTCAGTAGGGTTGTCTTGTATCTCCTTAAGAAGATCACTATGCCGTTCCATTTCATCATCAATCTGCAATGCTTAGTCCTGATTACAGAAAACCGGAAGAAGATCTAAACCCAAAAGAGTTCGCAACTTCAATCTTAAGTCCTTCATTTGCTCAAATGACTAATGGTAGCAAGAGAAATGACATTAAGTTTGAAGAGGTTCGCAATCATGCAGAAACGAAATTACACAAAGCAGAAGATTATCACAATTTCTCTCACAAATTTATGTGCAGCAATCAAGAAAAATATTAGTTAATGAAATGATTGAACATTTTAAGGCAATTGTTATACCTTCTTCACTTTGCTAGCCAGTGCGATTAATTTTTCCTTCATATTGGGATCAGTTTCTTCATCTGCTCGTGTTTGACACCGGTTAAAAAAGCTTTCTCTATACTTGTTCCACTCCTCTCTGAACACCAAGTACTTTCTCCATTCTTTAACTCTAGGCTTCTCATTCAAGAACACATCAATCATCTTATCACAAAATTGAGTTAAAGTGTAACCCTCAGCAACTTCCTTCTCCATCTGCTCCTCTCCCACATCAGCATTAGCCACGCTAGACACTCTGGTACCTAAAAGAACAATTTTTTTTTTCTTCTTCAGAGATGCTCATAAACAAGAATCCAATAAATCCCATATAAACAAAATGCTTTACTCTGTCCTTAGTTTTCATAGGCATAAAAAACCCACTACTAAAACGCCAAATTTTCCATACACGAAGTCAAGAACATGAATCATATGCTTAGGATAAAAACATAGAAAGCCAAATATTCCACGAACCAAGAAGAGAAAAGAAAGCAACATAGAGAAATGTGAAGTGAAACTCACTGAATTTTTGGTTAAAGCGATGAGTCTTTGGGTTGGAACTGTGAGTTGGTTCTCTTGTTTTGAGCTTACTAGAGGAAGAGGAAGTGAAAGGAACTGTGAGAGTTGTTAGAGATGAATATTCATTGGAAGGAAAGAGAAGAGTGTGGTGGTTGTTTTCGGTGTTAAAGAGAGATGGTTTAGTGGTGGAAATTGATAGCTTAAATCTTAAAAGATTGGTCATGGCGTTACAAAGGCAGTTGAGCAGAGAAGATAAAAGGTAACCAAAATGTTGGAGCAGGAGTTCGCCAGTGTGCTCAACTTTTCAACTCAGGATAAGTTTATTAACCGATCGAAGCGACGTCGTTTTGAGTTATACTAATTTTTAGTTTTTGGAAAAAAAATTTTATTATGAAACTTAGCCTATGAAAACATTTTGTCACCCCCACTGTTAGAAGTCATTCATTCATTCTTCTATCAAGAAAAAATTAATTATATCGAAGCAAACAAAAACTAACCCATGGATCATGAATATCCTAATAGTATGCTATCCTAATATTATGCTGATAAACAATTTTCACTAACTTTCTCTCACAAACACGATGTGATAATTCCTAATTGATCAGCTCGTAATTGATTCAATTGATTCTATCTGACCAATTGTGAGCTGTCACGTTGTATTTGTGAGAAAAAATGAATGAGAAGGTTTGTCAACCAATCTTTATTTTTATGGAAAAAGAATGATAACAAAAAAGTATGATGAGACGATTGGCCAGACATTAACATCATAAGATGTTATAAGAGGGCTTAAATTAAGAGATTTAGGAACCAATAACTAAGCAATCAAACGTAAGCAGGAAAACCCACTTTGGAAACGCAGCCGATGCTCGCACAAAACTCATGTAAACCCAAGAAATATGGAAAAAATATTACAGATAATTCCCATTGCCAAATTCCAAAATACTAGTTGCTGGACACAGAAGTGATAAGTATCCAAAACCAAAATTGTTGGCAAATGGGTTTATTATTTTTGAGAAAAAAGTTAAAGACTAACAGACATGCAGCTCATTGCTTACTTTGATGAAAGCTAAATTGATGTTAACTTCCTCACATAAATATGGTTCAATACTACACGTCACGGAGCAAAGGCATTTGATTGCATGAAGTATATGTACTACTGCAAACAAATATCCAAATACATGGATTAATGGCAGGAAAATCGGTGCTAGCTAGATTGCATATACTAAAGCCAAAATTAGAGGATGAAGAATACAAGAATGGTTCATTGTTTTCGATCGAAACAAACTCAAAACGGATTCCACAATGAAGACAACTCCATACAAACTTTGGAACAACCTCCTCAATCTCCTTTTAATTCACCCTTCAACGCGTCAATACTCCAGTTTAGGAGACCAAAAGTAACTATTAACTCTTTTGTTTCTCTCTTCTTTAGTTAGCCGCAAATATGGCTCTGCACAGAAATGGAGATCCTCGCGATGCAGTGATTAATATAGGGAAGCCCATGAACTTAACCGGTGGGCTTGAGTTTTTAAACCTCACATACACTGTGATAAAGAAGAAGAAACTTGAAGGGAAGTGGTTGAGTCAAGAAGTGGACTTATTGCACAAAATTACAGGCTATGCTCCAAAAGGGTGCATCACTGCTGTGATGGGGCCTAGTGGTGCTGGAAAATCTACGTTTTTGGATGCTGTCGCCGGGCGTATCGCAAGCGGGTGTCTCAAGGGTCGAGTGTCTTTGGATGGGATGGAAGTTAGCCCCAGCTTGATAAAGAGAACTTCGGCGTACATAATGCAAGAAGACAGACTCTTCCCGATGCTCACTGTTTATGAGACCTTGATGTTTGCCGCCGATTTTCGCTTGGGCTCTATTTCTTGGTCTGATAAGCAGCAGCGAGTAGAGAAGCTCATCGATCAGCTTGGTTTAACAGTGAGTGGTTTAACCTCCCTTGTTACATATATGAATTTTATAATTCTATTCTAAGTGGTTCTCTATGAATTTTTGAGTGTAGTCAGCGAGGAACACCTACATTGGAGATGAAGGAACAAGAGGAGTGTCAGGTGGTGAGCGGCGCAGAGTTTCAATTGGCGTGGACATAATTCACGGACCATTCTTACTCTTCCTGGACGAGCCAACTTCAGGCCTAGACTCCACCAGTGCTCACAGTGTAATTGAAAAGGTGCACAACATTGCTCGCTCTGGTAGCACTGTGATTCTCACAATCCACCAACCTTCATCAAGAATTCAATTGCTCCTTGACCATCTCATTATTCTAGCTCGCGGGCAACTCATGTATCAAGGATCTCCGAAGGATGTCACTCTCCATCTTAATCGAATGGGAAGAAAAGTTCCCAAAGGAGAGAACTCAATAGAGTACTTAATTGATGTGATACAAGAATATGATCAATCTGAGCTAGGTGTGGAGGTGCTGACTGAATTCGCACGAACGGGTTTGAAACCACCACCATTGTCTGATGAGGAAGTTTCTGTTTCAACAATTCCACCATCTCCAATCCCAAACCGTCGTTCTCGCCTTGGCATGGAAAGACCTGAAAATCAAGGAAATAATAATATAAGGCGTCTCCCCTTGCAAACAAATACTCATAGTCCAGCTGATCATGATTTTGATCATAGTGTTAGAAGCCCTTATAATAATAGCTCATCAAGGTCACCTTGGAGTGCAAGCCAGAGTGGAATTGTTCAAACAATGAGGTTCACACCTTCTAGCCAACGAAATGATCGGAAAATGCAGAATCCCATGAGGTAAATATAAATTAATTTCTGAAATTTCTTAAAGACCAAGTGATGGACCTTGTTATATGAGTTGGTATTTTTGGCAGTTCATCTCCAGGCTACTACACATACTCAAGTGAAATGCTAGCAGGAACTCCAACGCCTCACAGCAGCGACTACACCGTGAATGAAAACGATTACTTGACTCCCGACATCGCACCAAAGAATGCAACTCAACATTTCAGACCGAAATTTGCAAATTCTTTCTTATCAGAGACTTGGATTCTCATGCGCCGCAACTTCAAGAACATCGGGCGCACCCCTGAGCTTTTCCTCTCAAGACTCATGGTACTCACAGTCATGGGCTTTATGATGGCCACCATGTTCATGAACCCCAAAGTTAATATGCAAGGGATCACAAATCGTCTCAGCTTCTTCATCTTCACTGTCTGTCTATTCTTCTTCTCATCCAATGACGCAGTCCCGGCTTTCATCCAAGAACGCTTCATTTTCATTCGCGAAGCCTCCCACAATGCCTATAGAGCCTCATCTTACACCATTGCTGGCCTCATCACCTATCTTCCTTTTCTCTTGTTGCAATCCGCCGTCTATGCGGGTATTGTTTGGAAAGCTCTGAATCTTCGAGGGTCGTTCCCATATTTCTTGCTGGTACTCTACGTGTCCCTTCTTTCAACCAACTCTTTCGTGGTGTTCGTGAGCTCAGTGGTGCCGAACTACATTCTCGGTTATGCAGCGGTGATTGCTTTCACCGCTTTGTTTTTCTTGTTCTGCGGATACTTCTTGAATAGCGATGCCATTCCGGGATACTGGATCTGGATGAACAAGATTTCAACAATGACATATCCATATGAAGGGTTGCTGATGAACCAGTATCAGACTGATGACACTTTCAGCCGAGACGGTGGACAAATTATAAGAGGGTTCGACATCTTGGATTCTCTCCATATTAAAAAGGAAGAACGGGATATGTGGCAGAAGGTTTTCGTAATGTTGGGTTGGGCAGTTTTCTACAGGATTTTGTTTTATATAATCCTTCGTTTCTTCTCAAAGAACCAGAGAACATAAAAGAGGGGACCTTGGATTAATTTGCTTAAAATTTGTACTCTTTTGCTTATATTGTCCAGATTAAAGTTTAATTTATAGTGTTACTAAACTGTGGGAATCATGTTGATAGATTGATTAGAATTGAGACAAAAGTACTAGCCTTTGACATGGCTGTAATCAACTGAAACTGGTTGATGGTGGTGAAGAAATGAAGGTATATTAATGTATTTGTATAAAAAACTTGATACTCCATCAAGGAGTATCTGCTTTGGCTGTGTTTGCAGGAAAGGAGGCTGTTTATGAAATTTTTTGTGTAAATGGAGGATGTTAATTGTTTCCGGAGTCTTTAATTTCATCGTCCATACATCTAAATTTCTCATTATTAAGGTCTTCCTTATCATTTTCTTAGAAAATCAGTAACTCCGAATTGAAAATGGTACCCGACCAAAAATCTACATCACCAATACCATTTTCACATCCAGTAATTAGTTATTATGAAAGATAATTAATGTATTAAACAACAAATACTTTTTGTAGAAATGAATTAAAATATTTTTGAAAACAGTTTTTTGGATACAGTCGTAAAAGTTAATATAAAATTAAAAAAGATTAAAAATTATTTTTTAATCTAAAAATTATATCGAACATATTCTTAACTATTAAAAATATTGATATATGAACAACCACTGGATGGTCTGATGATAAAATAGCAAAGGGTCCAACATGAGTTCTAGAGTTCAAGTTCTCCCCAAGCGTGACTCGAATTTATCCGACTGTTCACTTCAACGTCTCGAGAAATTAGTTAAAGTGCGTGCGAGTTGACCTAGACACTCTCAATCACCGAAAAAAAAATTTGAGATATAATTAAAAAATTGTGAAAAGTGATGTTTATTTTAGTTTTTGATTTTGATTTTTTTTAATGTTAAATCAAAGAAACCCTAATAAATAATTTTGTCCCGTATAAGAGTAAGGAACAAAGTTGAATGGTGAGGAATATACTATCACCGTTATAAGCATCGCCGATTCAGGGCACAGCTTGATCAACTTAATTAAGCATAAATAATGATCATCTTCTGACCAAATTAATTAAGTATATAAAACCAGGCCTCAGGTATTTGTCATAGGCGGCTATACCTAAGGATTAGCAAAAATTAAGTGTAATGACATAAGTTAATTAAAGATAATATATATTAGAGCAATATTTTATTCATAATTAACCAAATACGTAACCAATCATCAGCCTCTTCTAATTAGATGCATTTCCAAACGAATCTGCTTAAGTTTGTTCGGCAATTAATTCGAACTAGGAGTTGACCTTAATGCCCATTTCTTGTTTATTTGTAAGAGAAAATACCTAAGGGTGTTACGGTAAAATTCTTTCAATTTACTATTGGATGGTTTAGAAATGGAGAATTTATTAGAATGGTCATAATTTTGTTGAGAGTTGATAAAATATATACAATTCAGGAATTAATTAATGTTTTTGATGTGGTAATTTTAGAGGAGGTTTATGGTATTATTATGAATTTCTAACTAATAGTTTCCTTGTCTTGTGTTTAAACCAAATGTCAGGAAACCATGGGATTTTGACTAATATATACTATACTAGTTGATCCACAAATTGAATTTGATTTCCCCTTTTCAACATTAAATTTATAGTTGGAATTAGACCTTATTTTTATATTCCAATCTGTTAATTTGTTTAACAGAATGATAGCATGGTGTATGGTATTTGTTGATGATGGATTTTGACACCAACTATTCGCACGTGCAAAGTGCTAAGTAAACTTAGAAATTACATGTAAATTGGAAAATGAAACAAATAAAAGGGAGAAATTTTTTAAAGTAGTTCGGATGCTCAAAGCGAATCCTACGTCCACTGTATTTTTATTTATGAAATAGTACAATTAGGTCACATGTAGTGATCAGAGAGAACATAAATACCGAGAGGGAGAGAGAGAGTGTTTATGTTATCAGAACTAGAATCCCGAAAAATGAAAGGGCAGCTCTCTATTTATAGTAAGAGGTTTTTAGGTAATGATTATAGGTCTGTCAACGGACAGGTGCCGTATAATTCCTATCCTGCTTCCTATTGGTCGGTTGCACGGAAGATATCCTTAAATCGCATAGGGTTTGGGCAAGTAGGTAACTCCCAACCACTCACTCGTCAGACCTTTACTTGCCAATCTGATGACAACCTTACTCTTTTTGTCATTGGACGACGTGACAATACCTAGACGGTACAATGCTTTCCTAAATTCTGATTGGTCCTTGTTGACGTAAGTCTGCGTCAGTCCTGATTTTTGGAGGCATAACAGTATTATTAAGTTTGAGTTTAGTAATTTGGAACTAGCATAATAAATCCCATGATTAATGCGGCATTAGTAATAAACAAGAAGAATTTTGAACCAATTTCGTCAAGTCAAATTGAACTTCTCAAACCCGTCAGTGACTCAGTAAACAATTAAAGGATATTATTAATTAATTAACACAATTTGATAGCTTTGTAAGAATCGCAACATTAATGGGTCGGAGCAGGAATAACAAAAATAAATAACTAGAGCTATTAATAAGATTGTGACAAAATAACAATGTAAATTAAAAATTTGACTAAGTAAAACAGAAAATGTCAGGAACATCCCATTCTTTCCGATCTGTAAAACACCATGGCCATCTCATCCAACCAATAACCATCCTCTTTCTCTTTAAACCTTAGTGGCTACACTTTCGGATGAAGAATGATACAGATCTCTTGTGTTCACCTCCCATTGGATTTGACTAGTTTTATGAAAAGTTTACTTGATGTTTCATAACTTGTTAGAAAATTTCCAAAATTAATTTGGAAATTTTCTGTTAGTATTACTAATAAGTATGTTGTGTTAAACTAGAGCTGGAAATTTCAGAAATAATAAGATTTTCATTTTTGTTAATCATGGTGGATTGCTAACCTAATTTATCTTCATCTGAAACTACAACAGAGCTGATCATGTTTGGTTTGTCGTGTCTCAACTTCATTGGCCTGTAATTTGTTCCCCTACTAGTAAATTGTCATTTTCCCGAGAAAATGAAGGAAAATTACTGGTTGCGAAGGCACAAGTTTCTGGAGATATTGTCTCTACTCCCCAACAAAGAAAGCTACAAAACTCAATGAAATTACTTCTCCATCTCGTTTATTAGTATTCAACTAGTAAAGGTGATTACCTTTTCGTGTTTATTTATTACGCCAACCTATCTTTCATATAGAAAGTGGAATGCCGGTTAAATTATTTGGCCATTTCCAGAATTTAATTTGTTTAGTTTTTCATATTTTTTAGCCAATGTTTGCCAACAAGCATGAACAGGAATAGCTTTAAAAGTTTTTACTAGAGAAGGCAAAAGACTCTTGGGATTTGGGATGATGATGTTGAGTAGATTAGTAACAGACAAGGAGAGGGACGAAAGATGAAGGATCCCTCCGCCTTATTATTTTAAACTATTTAAAATTTTAAAATATATAGATTACCCTCCACCACCTAAACAAGACATTAATCTCAATATTAAACATACAAATTATTATCAACTTTTGTATTATACTAATTCATATGTCCCTATCATCTTCTTCTTTGTGCTCCTGTAATTTCCCAACCTTTGAAGTCAAACACAACTTATTATCACCAACCCTCTTTCTCTTCATAACTTCCTAGAGCTGTTTTTTATGCTCTCTGACAAAGATTCTTCTATGATCAAGTGCTGAAAGGGGTTTTACAGGATTTTATGTTTTGGTTATGCTTTCATTTTTATTTGGAATATAGTTGAATTGTTGAATTCTTTAAGTACGGTATTTGGTGGAAGTTAATTGAGAAGCCAATTGATTTGATTGTGAGTTTCATAACTCGATGGGGCGTGTGCCAAAGATGAGATGATGATGGAAGGATTGAAGAATAGGATTTCAAGACTTGCTGAATGTTTCATAATTTGCCTTATTATTCTTATACGATCTACTTTTGCACAAACAGGTCAGTACAGAAAGTTATGTGTGCACTTTGCCTCTTTTTCTCTTCTTTTCCCATTGATTTTTGTTCAAGTTAGTTGCATTTAGCTTGATCCCCAAGATTGATCTTGTTCTGTTTGAATTTTAAGCCTAAAAAACCAGGTCAGTATTTTAGATAGAGGCAGACAACTTTTATTAATTAGTACTCGTTCATAATCTGATATTAATAAATGCAGATCTTATTTCCAGGGATGTAAATTTATGATTAAGATTACTTCAATTGCTTGTTTTGGTCATATAAAATGCACAATCTATGCTAAACACAGATTAGTCATAATGTTTTTGAGCCGGATACGGCTTCAAATTGATAGCTAGTGTTGAAACTAAACTGTTAATCTTTTAAATGTAATAATTTTGCAGGATTTGTGAGCATAGCATGCTGTGCTGATTCAAGTTTTAGCGACGGAAATATAAGTTGGGTACCAGATGATAATTGGTTTCCGGACAAAACAAGTTGCCGGAGCATTACTAGACCAGTGGTGAACTACAAAGCTTATGGTAAAGTTCGTGATTTCAACATTGATTCAGGGAAGAGATGTTACAATTTTACAACAAATAAGGATCAAGAGTATCTGATAAGGGGCACATTTCTTTATGGGGATAGAGAGGGGACACCTCTGGGATCATCCTTCAATGTTTGGATTGGTGTCACACCTTTAAGTGTAGTGAACTCTTCTGAGGACTCAGTGGTGGAGGGAATTTTTAGAGCTGTTGATGATCAAACAGACTTCTGCTTAGTGAAAGATAAGGGGAATCCTTACATTTCACAGCTTGAATTGAGGCCGTTGAATGAACCAGAGTATTTACATGGGCAAAATTCTAGTGTTCTGAAAGTGGTTGGTAGATTTGATCTAGGCAGAAGTGATAAGGAGAACAGGTATTCTTTCTCTACTTTCTTTTAAGGCGTTAAGGAACAAAAATTATTGATCACCATAGATAAGGAGTGATCAAAATTTCTTCATGATACAGTAAATTAAAATCTTAGATACGATTGATTATTTTAAAGCAGATAATAGCTTGCTTCTATTGTGAGTATTCTTCAGCATTTGCATTTAGTTAGAGACAAACAAACGCACTTCAACTAAAAGAGAAGAAACTGATTTTATCTTCATTCGTAAAGTTGCTCTAAGGACATAGAAGGAACATGAGTTCTCCAGTAATGCTAATTTCACCACCAAAAACCCAAGTAAACAGCTGCGTCGACATTTGAATCAACCTCATTTTTACATAGTCCTCATCCCTTATTCAAAATCGAAAACTTTGTAATAACCAGCACACTTTCTATCTTATTTAATTCAAATTGTGACCCCAGCACCCTCTACTGTTATACATGTTTAATGACTGTTCAATTATACCTACAATTACAGTGAAATGTACTCTAAAATATCCAACCTGATTCCAAATAAATTGCTTTAAACTTACAATGTTAAAAAATTGACATGCCTATGCTTCATATTCTCCAGTTTCAGGTACCCAGATGACCCTTATGACAGAATTTGGTCACCAAAATTGAATCCTGAACAAACAACCCATAGCATATCATCCAACACCACTATTTCCAACAACGCTAGTACAGTTACAGTGCCTCTCCAGGTTCTACAAACAGCTTTAAACACCAGCTTAGACCACTTGACATTCCTCCATACTGATCTTGACTCGGGAGATTACAACTACACTATCAACCTCTACTTTCTTGAGCTCCAAGACTCTGTTAAGAATTCAAGCCAAAGGGTGTTTGATATTTACATCAACAATGAGAAGAAACAAAACAAGTTTGACATTTTGGCTGGTGGTTCCAACTATGCGAAAGTTGTTTTGAATGTTACTGCAAATGGGCATCTTAACTTGACCTTAGTTAAGGTTCTAAATGGGTCTGAGTTTGGACCCATTTGTAATGCCTATGAGATCTTACAGGAGCATGCATGGGTTCAAGAGTCTGACAAAGAAGATGGTAAAAGTTTAATACTTGTGTGCAATCTTGAACATGTATGTCATTGGCTTGTTTTGACTTTCTTCGTCTTCAGTGAATGTGATAGGGAAAGTGAGAGATGACTTAAAGATGGACAACAAAGAAAAGAAGGTGTGGGAGAGTTGGTCAGGAGACCCATGTCTTCCTATTCCATGGGAAGGTCTTACTTGCAACTCCATTAATGGTTCCACTGTCATCACTGAGTTGTAAGTTCATATAAGTTTTTTTGCTTTTTCCAATTTTTATTCAAGATTAATTTCTGACTTAAGTATCAATTTGTTTGGTTCATCATTATGCTTTTGCAGAAATCTTCCCTCAAGAAAACTTCAAGGGGTTCTTCCTATCAGTGTCACTGAGCTGGTTCATCTAGAAAAATTGTATGGTTCAATCAATGCTGGCTTCTCTGTCCTTGTTGTTAGTGTTGCTAATTTTTCCTTTTTCTCTTCCTTGGGACATACACTAACTCAATGCATTATCTGTTACCTGTTTGTATTATGTAGGAACCTGAGCTACAATGAATTTACAAATGTGATCCCGGAATTTCTATCATTTTCCATGCTGAGATCAGTGTAATTTTCTAACTCATTTTTGAGCTGTTAGCCATCAAATATCGGGCTTTAAATTCCTCCAAATTACTATAATTAAATTTGCCTGATTGAGTGCAGTTTATGGACAACTTGATTTGCATTGCCTTTGAAGTTTAATATCTGAGGATCTTTAACTCAATCTTTTTCATGAAACATTTGATTATTTAATCATCCATCACTTAGTTTATGGTCAAAACTGCAACCTGCAAGTAAGGAGTTTTGTACATTGGATGGTTAAACCAAGATTTATGTTTAATTTGTTGATCTAAAGTTTTATGTTTAGTTTGTTGATTGACTTAAATTTAATTATCAGGGACCTGAGTCACAATGATTTTACTGGGAGGCTTCCTGATTCTCTTATCCTGCTTCCACATTTGAAAACATTGTGAGTAGTTACATACATATTGATATTGTTTTCCGATATATGAGTTAATATCTAAACAGATTCTTGTTTACAATGAACTGCTAATAATTCAGTGTTAATGTCTTTGCTCCTTCAGAAACTTTGGATGCAATCCTCATCTTGACATTCCTTCCACGTTTAACATCTCCAGATTAACCACAGAGTATGAAATATTTTTTCCTCTGCCTTAAAAAAAGGTTTCATATGAGAGGATTGAAATAGCGAAGAACGTTATATATATATATATATACTGAAATGTTGTTCATCTGTATTTCAGCGGTGGAACATGTAGTAGTCAAGGATCAACACATAAAGGAATCATCATTGGCTCTGTAGCATGTGGAAGCATCCTATTTACTATTGCAGTTGGAGCTGTTTTATTTTGTTTCTACAAACGAAAATTCATGGCTCGGAGAACATTAGATGTCCAGAATTTAATTTGTTTAGTTTTTCATATTTTTTAGCCAATGTTTACCAACAAGCATGAACAGGAATAGCATTAAAAGTTTTTACTAGAGAAGGCAAAAGACGATTGGGATTTGGGATGATGATGTTGAGTAGATAGTAACAGACAAGGAGAGGGACGAAAGATGAAGGATCCCTCCGCCTTATTATTTTAAACTATTTAAATTTTTAAAATATATAGATTACCCTCCACCACCTAAACAAGACATTCATCTCAATATTAAACATACAAATTATTATCAACTTTTGTATTATACTAATTCATATGTCCCTATCATCTCCCTCTTTATGCTCCTGTAATTTCCCAACCTTTGAAGTCAAACACAACTTATTATCACCAACCCTCTTTCTCTTCATAACTTCCTAGAGCTGTTTTTTATGCTCTCTGACAAAGATTCTTCTATGATCAAGTGCTGAAAGGGGTTTTACAGGATTTTATGTTTTGGTTATGCTTTCATTTTTATTTGGAATATAGTTGAATTGTTGAATTCTTTAAGTACGGTATTTGGTGGAAGTTAATTGAGAAGCCAATTGATTTGATTGTGAGTTTCATAACTCGATGGGGCGTGTGCCAAAGATGAGATGATGATGGAAGGATTGAAGAATAGGATTTCAAGACTTGCTGAATGTTTCATAATTTGCCTTATTATTCTTATACGATCTACTTTTGCACAAACAGGTCAGTACAGAAAGTTATGTGTGCACTTTGCCTCTTTTTCTCTTCTTTTCCCATTGATTTTTGTTCAAGTTAGTTGCATTTAGCTTGATCCCCAAGATTGATCTTGTTCTGTTTGAATTTTAAGCCTAAAAAACCAGGTCAGTATTTTAGATAGAGGCAGACAACTTTTATTAATTAGTACTCGTTCATAATCTGATATTAATAAATGCAGATCTTATTTCCAGGGATGTAAATTTATGATTAAGATTACTTCAATTGCTTGTTTTGGTCATATAAAATGCACAATCTATGCTAAACACAGATTAGTCATAATGTTTTTGAGCCGGATACGGCTTCAAATTGATAGCTAGTGTTGAAACTAAACTGTTAATCTTTTAAATGTAATAATTTTGCAGGATTTGTGAGCATAGCATGCTGTGCTGATTCAAGTTTTAGCGACGGAAATATAAGTTGGGTACCAGATGATAATTGGTTTCCGGACAAAACAAGTTGCCGGAGCATTACTAGACCAGTGGTGAACTACAAAGCTTATGGTAAAGTTCGTGATTTCAACATTGATTCAGGGAAGAGATGTTACAATTTTACAACAAATAAGGATCAAGAGTATCTGATAAGGGGCACATTTCTTTATGGGGATAGAGAGGGGACACCTCTGGGATCATCCTTCAATGTTTGGATTGGTGTCACACCTTTAAGTGTAGTGAACTCTTCTGAGGACTCAGTGGTCGAGGGAATTTTTAGAGCTGTTGATGATCAAACAGACTTCTGCTTAGTGAAAGATAAGGGGAATCCTTACATTTCACAGCTTGAATTGAGGCCGTTGAATGAACCAGAGTATTTACATGGGCAAAATTCTAGTGTTCTGAAAGTGGTTGGTAGATTTGATCTAGGCAGAAGTGATAAGGAGAACAGGTATTCTTTCTCTACTTTCTTTTAAGGCGTTAAGGAACAAAAATTATTGATCACCATAGATAAGGAGTGATCAAAATTTCTTCATGATACAGTAAATTAAAATCTTAGATACGATTGATTATTTTAAAGCAGAAAATAGCTTGCTTCTATTGTGAGTATTCTTCAGCATTTGCATTTAGTTAGAGACAAACAAACGCACTACAACTAAAAGAGAAGAAACTGATTTTATCTTCATTCATAAAGTTGCTCTAAGGACATAGAAGGAACATGAGTTCTCCAGTAATGCTAATTTCACCACCAAAAACCCAAGTAAACAGCTGCGTCGACATTTGAATCAACCTCATTTTTACATAGTCCTCATCCCTTATTCAAAATCGAAAACTTTGTAATAACCAGCACACTTTCTATCTTATTTAATTCAAATTGTGACCCCAGCACCCTCTACTGTTATACATGTTTAATGACTGTTCAATTATACCTACAATTACAGTGAAATGTACTCTAAAATATCCAACCTGATTCCAAATAAATTGCTTTAAACTTACAATGTTAAAAAATTGACATGCCTATGCTTCATATTCTCCAGTTTCAGGTACCCAGATGACCCTTATGACAGAATTTGGTCACCAAAATTGAATCCTGAACAAACAACCCATAGCATATCATCCAACACCACTATTTCCAACAACGCTAGTACAGTTACAGTGCCTCTCCAGGTTCTACAAACAGCTTTAAACACCAGCTTAGACCACTTGACATTCCTCCATACTGATCTTGACTCGGGAGATTACAACTACACTATCAACCTCTACTTTCTTGAGCTCCAAGACTCTGTTAATAATTCAAGCCAAAGGGTGTTTGATATTTACATCAACAATGAGAAGAAACAAAACAAGTTTGACATTTTGGCTGGTGGTTCCAACTATGCGAAAGTTGTTATGAATGTTACTGCAAATGGCCATCTTAACTTGACCTTAGTTAAGGTTCTAAATGGGTCTGAGTTTGGACCCATTTGTAATGCCTATGAGATCTTACAGGAGCATGCATGGGTTCAAGAGTCTGACAAAGAAGATGGTAAAAGTTTAATACTTGTGTGCAATCTTGAACATGTATGTCATTGGCTTGTTTTGACTTTCTTCGTCTTCAGTGAATGTGATAGGGAAAGTGAGAGATGACTTAAAGATGGACAACAAAGAAAAGAAGGTGTGGGAGAGTTGGTCAGGAGACCCATGTCTTCCTATTCCATGGGAAGGTCTTACTTGCAACTCCATTAATGGTTCCACTGTCATCACTGAGTTGTAAGTTCATATAAGTTTTTTTGCTTTTTCCAATTTTTATTCAAGATTAATTTCTGACTTAAGTATCAATTTGTTTGGTTCATCATTATGCTTTTGCAGAAATCTTCCCTCAAGAAAACTTCAAGGGGTTCTTCCTATCAGTGTCACTGAGCTGGTTCATCTAGAAAAATTGTATGGTTCAATCAATGCTGGCTTCTCTGTCCTTGTTGTTAGTGTTGCTAATTTTTCCTTTTTCTCTTCCTTGGGACATACACTAACTCAATGCATTATCTGTTACCTGTTTGTATTATGTAGGAACCTGAGCTACAATGAATTTACAAATGTGATCCCGGAATTTCTATCATTTTCCATGCTGAGATCAGTGTAATTTTCTAACTCATTTTTGAGCTGTTAGCCATCAAATATCGGGCTTTAAATTCCACCAAATTACTATAATTAAATTTGCCTGATTGAGTGCAGTTTATGGACAACTTGATTTGCATTGCCTTTGAAGTTTAATATCTTAGGATCTTTAACTCAATCTTTTTCATGAAACATTTGATTATTTAATCATCCATCACTTAGTTTATGGTCAAAACTGCAACCTGCAAGTAAGGAGTTTTGTACATTGGATGGTTAAACCAAGATTTATGTTTAATTTGTTGATCTAAAGTTTTATGTTTAGTTTGTTGATTGACTTAAATTTTATTATCAGGGACCTGAGTCACAATGATTTTACTGGGAGGCTTCCTGATTCTCTTATCCTGCTTCCACATTTGAAAACATTGTGAGTAGTTACATACATATTGATATTGTTTTCCGATATATGAGTTAATATCTAAACAGATTCTTGTTTACAATGAACTGCTAATAATTCAGTGTTAATGTCTTTGCTCCTTCAGAAACTTTGGATGCAATCCTCGTCTTGACATTCCTTCCACGTTTAACATCTCCAGATTAACCACAGAGTATGAAATATTTTTTCCTATGCCTTAAAAAAAGGTTTCATATGAGAGGATTGAAATAGCGAAGAACGTTATATATATATATATATACTGAAATGTTGTTCATCTGTATTTCAGCGGTGGAACATGTAGTAGTCAAGGATCAACACATAAAGGAATCATCATTGGCTCTGTAGCATGTGGAAGCATCCTATTTACTATTGCAGTTGGAGCTGTTTTATTTTGTTTCTACAAACGGAAATTCTTGGCTCGGAGAACATTAGATGGGAAACGATACCCAATGACTAAGAGTGAGTCAAATTGATCTCTTCTTTGCTCATTGATCCCATATAACTTTCAGGGTGCTAGCGGAAACCATATGCATGCTATGTTTGAATTTATAGAACACTCATCATTGTTGGACAGTCTGCAATTATGCTCTCCCCAACTCCCTGGATCGAGAGAATCAGAAAGATGTAGTTTGTATGACATTTAATTCATATAAGTATACTCTTAAAAATTGCAGATTTAGTATTCTCGATCCCGAGCATGGACGATGGTGTGATGTCAATTGCGATACAGACATACACTTTAGAGCACATAGAAAATGCAACGCAGAAGTATAAAACATTGATAGGTGAAGGAGGTTTTGGATCTGTGTATCGCGGCACCTTACCTGACGGTCAAGAAGTGGCAGTGAAGGTTCGGTCTTCAACATCAACTCAGGGAACTCGAGAATTCGAGAACGAGGTGAAATAGTCTTGACATTTAATGTACAATTTTCTGTTCAGCTCATCAAACTGCACTTGTATCCTAAGTTATCTTGCATTGCTCTTCTTTCAGCAAAGAATAGAAATGACTGATGCAAAACTTTTTGCTCTTATCTATCTCATTTCTGTTTCCATATGCCAACTGACAAATATTATCAATCTTCTTTCACAGCTAAACCTGCTTTCAGCTATTCGGCATGAGAACCTGGTTCCTCTTCTTGGTTATTGCTGTGAAAGTGACCAGCAAATCCTTGTTTATCCTTTCATGTCCAATGGCTCTCTACTAGATCGCCTCTACGGTACTTTCCACCTAAAACTCCTTTCTGCTGATACATATTGTTATTCATCACATTTGGTTTTGGATTAACCAATTCTCTAACAGGGGAAGCAGCAAAAAGGAAAACTCTGGACTGGCCAACCAGACTTTCTATAGCCCTTGGCGCTGCTCGAGGCAAGTAATATGTTGAATTCGGTGATTGTGTTCTATTATGTTCTAATTGAACACAGAGCAAAAAGAGGAATATGATAATTGGTTGGTTACCCCAAGTATGTTATTTACTGAGAAATAGATTTTCTTTTTTGATGTTCAGGTTTGTTGTATCTTCATACATTTGCCAGGCGAAGTTTGATACATAGGGATGTAAAATCAAGCAACATACTTCTGGATCATAGCATGTGTGCCAAAGTGGCAGATTTTGGCTTCTCAAAATATGCTCCACAAGAAGGGGACAGTGGTGTTTCTCTGGAAGTGAGGGGAACAGCCGGATATTTGGATCCTGAGTAAGTATGAATATTTCTTAGGTGATTTACAAATTTTCAAGTCTTGCCCAGAAAATAGTTACTGTTACATTTGCTTATTAGTTGAATTGAATCATCATCAAATGTGGTTTCATATTTTCCTGATTTTTCAGGTATTATTCCACCCAGCATTTATCGGCAAAGAGTGATGTCTTCAGCTTTGGTGTGGTTCTCCTTGAAATTATCAGTGGTCGAGAGCCTCTAAACATAAAAAGGCCACGGAACGAGTGGAGTTTAGTTGAATGGGTATGGTCTAAATCCCATGTTTTCTGATATATAGTCTTCTCTTTGAGGTTGTTTTTCATAAGGATCAGTTACCTGCAGGCCAAACCATATATAAGGGAGTCAAAGATTGAGGAAATTGTGGATCCCAGCATCAAAGGAGGGTACCATGCAGAGGCAATGTGGAGAATGGTGGAGGTGGCGTTGGCGTGTATCGAGCCCTTCTCCGCATATCGACCATGCATGTCAGACATCGTACGCGAGCTGGAAGATGCTTTGATAATAGAGAACAATGCATCTGAATACATGAAGTCCATAGACAGCATAGGAGGGTACAGCTTGGGAGGCTCCAATCGTTACTCGATAGTGATGGAGAAAAGAAATATTCTTCCACCCACTCCAAGTCCAACTGAACCATCACCTGTTAACACACAAACCCTGGCTCCTCCAGAACCCAGATAGTGAAAGGTGGAAGATATGTTCATTTAGCAAATCACCAGTTCAGTCATTTTATTTGATATATGATTAAAGAGAAAAAATGAGGAAAATTCCACTGTGCTCTGCTCTTGTATGAGACCTATGCATCTTTTGCTTTTTATTCTATTAATTTTTAGGTTACAGGATCAACTTTTTGCTAAACTTTGATGGATATTGTTATGGGTATGGTTTTCTGTCTTAAACGTGTTCTTTTTACCCACAGCTCAGTCACAGATATTGAACTAATTTCAACCTGGAAGATCTATGTGACCCTAACTTCGCAATGCTGGAGATCAATAAAAGAACTGAGACAAAAATATTAAAGTTAAAACAGTTTTTTAAATTAATAAGATGATGCTACTTGTCAAAAGGAAAGCTGGGCATAACAGGCGTGTGATGTAGATTGAAATTTTCTAGCATAATTCAAGGCCAGTAGTATCTGATCCCCTTTTCAGTTGTGAGTAAAACCACATTAAAACAGGCAACTTATTGTCCAAAACTTAACGTGATTATTTAACACTGGCGGGATTAAGATAAGACACATGTAATTCATATCCATCTTTATTGGTCAATAATTCAGGTTCATTATCCTTCTATAGAAACTAGTAATATACATATATAAAACATAATAATCATGGCAAAATCGAAGCAGATATGGGACAAATCATCTGTTCATTTTCACACACGCTGGATTGCAAATTTTAGGGTGAGCTTGAGGACAGAGTTGGTCCGGTTACATAATATCCATACTAATATGGACAAAAGGAACCTTTTAGGTTGAAAGTACTGAAGGCGAGCTTGAGGACAGAGAATGTTAGATGACATTACTGCCAACACCAATCTAGCGATAAGGAACCTTTTAGGTTGGAAGTACAGAGGTTAAACCATTCTTCCTTGTGATTATATTGCTCCAATGTGCACCTAGGTAATCAAAATTTTTTCAGTGCCATGAACTGCAATCACATATTCCTAGGACACTGACATGATCCAAGAGTCAGAGAACCAATAACTTGAAAAACATCCTAGAAGGCATCAAATGCTTGGTATAGCAAACCTAACAAATTCACTAAAATTGTTCAACTTGAGCAAAATTTTGCATCAGATAAGTCTAATTGTCAAATTCATATGGTATTGTAATGTTGTCCAGCATTATGCCATCACAAGGCTGTAGAGAATTCCTAGTTAGACATACCACATTGATTGAAGAACTGCACAGGCCAAAATTGATGCCTCGTTTCAGGTAAAACATTACGAAATCATAGGTGACAGCAAGCAATAACAAGAGAGACAATCAGCTCAAAATTTCCAGCATTAACAATTAATATTGATGACAGCATAGTGGAAGAGTATAGTTCCTGCTAAAGAAGTTCCACTGACTTAAGGTCCAGGGAATGTGTCAGACTTGATGGCCACTAAACACTTACAAAAGATAATAGGAGACAAAAATGTATCAGGGAGAACATCATAAAGAAAATTCATGAAGCCACTTAAGAGAATATGTAACAAGGTATAAGTAGAAATAAACACATCTCATGAAAATGAACCAGTGCGATTTAAATTTCATGGGTGATCCTCTTGTAACAGGTTTACTTTGTCAAAAATCACAGAACCAAAAAAGAAATTGGAGACACTGTAAATAGCATACACCCAGGAATATGTATTACATGCACAAAATGGCAACACAAAACAATAAAGATTTCTATTACACCCAATCATGATCAACTGAAGTATAAATTACTTTGCAATTGGATTAAAGATCAAGAAGACCAAGAGATCCATTCACAACACAGAAGAAGACGCTTACATGAAGTTGCTTTTCTACAGTCACATGATTTGAGACATCAAGTAGTGAAAAGATGGGGGTTAGCTGATGCAGTACCCACTTGGACTTCAAGCAGTTCTAATCGACGCTCCAGCGTGTCAAGCTTCTCATTTAATGACGCTAATTTGCTCTTTGTTGTAGCTTCTGAAAGAACAAGATACAACAGCCTCAATTAGTAAAATTTAAATATGGAACTAAAACTCAGTGTAAGAAAATAAAATTCCAAAAGTGAGTACGCAAGATTCAATGTCCCCAATTTTGCTTCCCCGGAGAAATAGTCTCAACGAATCGGATAATCAACAACTCGGAATATTAACAATAGATAGACGCAAGTATTAAAATAGAACTCAAAACCAAAGTGTAATGAGACAAACAAAAGACCATGACCACGACCATCCGAGATAAATTAATTGAGATCTAGTCATCGCTGAAATTTCGATTAGTTTGACCGTCAACAAAAATAAGGGTAAACTAAAAGAAAGAGCAGTAGGGTTTAAATTTAGTAAAGAGAAAGAGAGAGTACCGAATTGGACGAGGAATTCGAAAAGGCGACGAACGTTGAGAGAAATGTGAGAAATAAACTCACGATTTTCCCAATCAGCTTGAACAGCAATTCCCACGTTCACTGCGTTTGTTATACCTCCAGCTCTCGCCATCCTTAGCTCACAAACTCAAACCAAAACCCATTTGATTATTTCTTTAGTTATATTTAATTTAGCTAGTGGTTGGTTGGTTGGTGGTTTGTTAGGTTCACGCCCTTTCTTTCTTTTTGTGCTTACTTCAATTGAATTTACTCTTAGAAGGCAACCCTCATTATTGTACACTAGTTTGAGATTATTTTATTGTTATTTTAATGTTTAGTGAAGTGATTCTAAAATAATTAGTTTTATGAAAAAAATTATTCTATTAGTTAATTTTTACATGTATAAAATCAAAAACAACCCACCACACCATTACCAAAGACAGATCTCTAACACCATTGGCATCATCAGTACAAACTTGACTTCGGTGGATTTAGGGGTGTCAACCAAGCCAAATCACTTGCTTGAGCTTGGCTTGAGTTTTGTGGAGTTGAGTTTAAGCTTAGCATATTTCAATTTGAAAAGAGTTTTTTGTTTTTGTGAGCTCGAGCTCAAATTTTCAAGCTCTAGCTCGAACTCGAGCCCAACACTGTAACAACTGAATCGAACTCGATTAGCTTAAAGCTTTGACTCAACTTGACTCGCTTACATGTGGATTTATTGGCACATATTATAACATTTGGCTATAAGAGGAGGTTAAATATGTCTCCACCCTCTTGCAAATCTCATGAGATCTATTGGTGATTTCTTTAATTTTTTAAATTAAACAAGTAATTTATAATTATTTGTATATACTTTTTAGTATTTTAAAAATATAATTCATTAATTATAAATGGCATACATAGTTTTTGAAACTCGCAACACCTTTAAATCACAATTTTACTAAATACACTAAAAAGTTATTCGAGTCAAAATTGATTTAAGTCTGAAACTACAAGAAAGCCCTAGAAATTGATGTTGTGAGTCTTTTATGGTCACATTATTTATCCCATTTGATGAATATTTACCCGATCCATTTATGAGAGATGTTATCGGTCCTATGTTTTTCACGAAGCCTATCATATTATTATTCAATTCAACACATTATTTTAAAAACCGGACCGGACTGGCCGGTCCAATCGGTTGGACCGGGAACCGGTCAAGTGTCTGGTTCGAGTCAACCTTAAACCCGTCATTATGCATTAAGCTGCTTTAACCCAGTCAAAACTTGGATAAAGTCAATGAACCGCCGGTCTAACCGGACCGACGGATAAACCGGTCTGATTTCAAAAACCCCTAATCATAGCTCATTCCATCGATTTCCTTTCTCTGTTTCTCAGCTTCTTCTCTTTCTCAGTTTCTCAGCTTCTCTTCGAAAATTTCTCTCTGAAATCCCACTAAAATCGCAATCAACTCCACTCCCTAAGTTTGAAATCGCAACCATTCAGCATTCACCAAGTCGCAACTGAACTCCCTCGCTGGAAATCGATGGCATCTTCCTCCCTCACCGGAAATCGACGACAACAGCTCTGTTCCTCGCTAGAAATCGACGGCAACAGCTTCATTCGTCGACGACAACTCCATTCCTCGATCCAGTTAGGGCTCTTGCAGTTTTGATCCTTGAAATCGCGTACCCTTTTTTTAGTTTTCTTGTGTTTTTCTTGATGGGTTCTCACTCTTTTACCCTGTGATCTTGCTTTATATATGTGGGTTTACGTTGTTGCTTTGGATCGGTGCTTGGTCTGGTCAGAAAGCTGTGATTTTTGTGTTCAAGATCTGGTTTTTGTGTTCATTCGAGCCTTGATCATGTTCATATCGTTTGCTCTAATGATTTATGGTTTCCAGATTAAATAGTTGAGGTTTGTGTATTGTAGTTCTTGGCTGTATGCTTCGTGGTGTCGATTCCGATGGACTCTGCCAGAATCAGCTAAAGCCTCATACACGTCCTTTCGAGATTCAATGGGTGCTTCAAGCAGACCCTACGGAGCAATGGATTCTACCAGTAGAAATTACAGAGGTGCATAACCAACAGGATCTCCTAGTTTTTCACGGCAAAGGTGCAGATAAAATTTAGTAGTGTGTAAACTGTAAACCAACAATTTTTGTCAACATGATTTTCCCAATCCCGTGTGTCTGCTGAAGTGTTGTATTTTAATTGTTCATACATTTTATTGAATGAAATCATTATTCTTTCTATTGTAAATCCCACCTTACGAGTATATTTGATTTTGGAATGTTGTCCCTGCCACATTTTGGTTATATTCTCTGACCTTATTCAGAAATTTCGGCTTCGTTTGGCTCACATTTGGGAATACTATTATTAGTATTCCCAATAAAGTTAAACAGTAAAATTGCAAAAACTCACAATATTATTCAACTTTTTTTAAACCCCCTAAATTTGTTAATTTAATTAAAAACCCCTAAATATTTTTTAAAAAATTACAAAAAAACCCTAGCAACCCATATTTACCAGATTCCGGCCACTACCGCCAGAAAATGGTCGGAATCTGGTATAATGGCGCACTACTGGCTGAATCTGGCCAGTAGTGCGTCGATCTAGCCTTTTCTGGGGCTAGATCTTTGGTCGTAGCCAGTCGTCAACGACGGCAAACACATGGTCGTTGTTGACCATCAACGACGGCCGTATCTTTGGTCGTCGTTGACGAGCAAATATGGCCAGATCTAGCCACAGATCTGGCCTTTTTCGGCCAGATCCACGGTGAATTTGGCCAGAAAAGGACATATCGACGCACGACCGGCAATATCGAGTCAGTCATACGCCGACTTTGGATTGTTATTAAATACTTAAGTTATGTTGAGATTATTGTTGAATTTGAACTTTGAATCATGTTGGACAGTAATTAAGTTGTTATTGTCTTCTTAAAAAATAGAAGACAATAACTTTGAATCATGTTGGACAGTCAATGGCCAGATTTAGTCACAGATTTGGCCTTTTTCAGCCAGATCCATGGTGGATTTGGCCAGAAAATGACATATCGGCACACGACCGGCAATATCAAGCCGGTCATACGTCGATACAGCAGCTCCGACCACTCTCCGGCAGTGGTGGCCAACTGTCCTTATTTATGAGTGGATTGGGGATGTTTTGTTAATTTTGAATATCATATTTGGGGCTGTTTAGTAAAAAAATAAATATAAGGGGTATTTATGTTAATTTTTAAAATTCTACATCGTAATACCCACCCAATTTAACTTTTTTTAAAAGATTATTCTAAAAACTACCAAATAATGAACCAAACGGAGCCTTCATCATCAAATTATAATTTGATTACCTTTGTGTTTAGTGGCGTCTAATATGAGAATTATATTCTTACTTATTATGTATTTTATCATTTAATATGTAAATACAACATTATGTTTAGATTTGAACTTTGAATTGTTGTTAAATACTTAAGTTATGTTGAGATTATTCTTGAATTTAAACTTTGAATCATGTTGAACAGTAATTAAGTTGTTATTGTTTTCTTAAAAAATAGAAATCTAAAAAAATAAATTTTTTTTTTTTAAAAATATGCTAACATCATTATAATGTGTGATGATATCACCGGTCCAACCGATTAGACCGGTTGAACCGTGACCCAAGTAGCAGAGCGGGTTGCCCTCCGGTCGGGCTTTTAAAACAATGATTCAACATTGGACACCACTAGTGCAATGATCGTTGGAGAACAGGTCACTTGGGGAGTAACAATAGGTCAATAATTAGATCATGCATTAATCACCTAACAAAATAGAAAAGTCCCTAGTGTTTCATCCACGCAATGCAGCTAACCATAACATCTTCAGTAATATGCAGAGAGAGACTTTATATTAAACAACTTTCCTCGGATTCTTATATACAAAATTTCGTTATCACATTCAATACCGATTGCAAAAGTAATTCATAATTTACAATCAAAACCATGGATGCCATGTTGGATCCATCATACACAAGTTCCTGGGGGTCAAGGCAGCCTCAACCAACTCAGTGACGCCCCTCTGCACCGATTGTGGTGGCTCCATGGCATCTTCTTCCTGAATGCCAAAACAAAAGAAATGTCATCAAATCAAAAACCATCAAACATGTTCAAATTCAACCAACTTGTATGAAAAAGCAAACTTGCGTTACCTCTTCAGAATAATGAGGCGCTATTCCATTGATCCGGGCAATAACATTCTCCACATTGGTGCTAACCTTGTGTTTGAAATCAACAGGGTTCAAACTACTCCCTCCAGCAACAGAGGCAATAGGCATCCCAAGTGGTCTTCTCCACGACCATGATAGCAACTCGTCACGGAAAAACATGGCTAATTGATACCATAAATGCTGGCTTTGCTGCAATATAGCAACAAAAAAACAAAAAACCCACAATCAACATTCTACCTGTGGCCTAAATCTGTTGGCTAAATGAAACAACTTACAGAAAACTTACTTTAGATGAAACCACAGCCTGTGCTGCAGCACACATTGCAGACACGATGAGGCCTTCTACACCAAAATGGGAGAAGAATGATTGCATGTTCCTTGTCAGACGAAAAGGCACTGGTTCATTAAACTCTATCATTCCGTTTGCATCATAAGCTGGGTGAAAATCTGTCTGGAATATCTTCCCAGTGTTCTTAGCAAACAAAATCTTATTTGGGGACCTTCCCCCAATTTGTAGCATAAAAGACATGAAACTTGAAAGGGCCAACTGGATGGCGAATTGCTTTTTGAAAGCCCACATATGATTACCACTCAGCAGTGTCTTGTACATGTACTGTGAGAAAATGCTCTCGGTCACAAAATTCTTTGTTATATCATTATAAGCTTGGAGACGGAGATCTACAACAGCTTCAGGTGAGATTTGGCCTGATATAGCTTGGTTTAACTGCTCCTTGAAATAAGTAATAGGTTGATCAGCCTCTCGGTCATTCCTAGAACAATGGTTCTCATACACCTCAAGGAAGGTGCTGTACATCAGATCATCTTCAACCATGCGAACCTGGTCATGCAACATTTCAATTATTAGACAAAATATCCTCACAGAACTCTCTGTACAGGCTAGTCATCAATCACCACTCAATAAATACAAGTGAATGAACATGGAAATAAAAAGGGAATGGTTATCTTGGTCAAAGGTACATTCTGCACGCATCTCATGCTACACTGACTTCTTATCTGGTTCCTTATCACCATGTGT